CACCCCCCATGGGGTCAGAATGTGAAACCTCCAAAACAAGTCCATAATAATTGCATACGGGGGTTGGACAGCAACAAACGAACGCCCCCAAAAAAACGGACAGCATTTTGCCACCTCCCATGGGGTCAGAATGTGAAACCTCCGAAAAAATCGAAAAACATTTTGCCGCACCCAAGAGCAGCCTTCAAAACAAGAATGTGACATCCAAATTTTTTCAATGCTCACCACCCACGTCAAACTCGGGTGCGATTGATTGATTGATTGATGGATGGATGGATGGACGGATGATGGATTGGTCGTTTGATAAATGATTATGATTGATTGATTGATTGATTGATTGATTGGTTGATTGATTGATCAATCAATCGATCAATCGACCAATCCATCAATCCATCAATCCATCAATCAACCAATCAATCAATGAATCAATCACTCAATCAATCAATCAATCAATCAATCAATCAATCTCCACGAAGTCAAGCCAATAGCCAACAAAATCGAGCCAATAGCACACGGCTGGTAGTCCCCGAGGTCGAGCCAATAGTCCACAAAGTCGACAACGATAGTCCACAGAGTCGAGCCAACAGTCCACAAAGTCGAGAACGAAAGTCGTAGTAATGTGAGCCGCCCAGAAACGATCGACAGCACACATCGTGCGTAGGGAGGGAGAGACAAGAGTCGAAGATCGTAAGTAGGGAGGGAGAGATAGAATCCAAGTTCGCAAGTACGGAGAGAGAGAGAGAGAGAGAGAGAGAGAGAGAGAGAGAGAGAGAGAGAGAGAGAGAGAGAGAGAGACGAAGATCGTATGTAGGGAGGGAGGGAGGGAGGGCGAGACAGAGAGAGTCAATCGAAGATCGTACGTAGGGAGGGAGAGAGAGAGAGGCGAAGATCGTAAGTAGGGAGGGAGGGAGGGCGAGACAGAGAGAGAGACAATGGAAGATCGTGAGTGGGGAGGGAGAGATAGAGAGTCCCAAGTTCGCGAGCGGGCAACGACATGCATACAACATCGGAGAGAGAGAGAGAGATAGTCCAAGATCGTTCGATTCGATCACTCCAGGTAGACTGTGAGGGCCCCGGCCTCAATCTTTGTTGTGATAAAAAAAAAAAAAAAAAAAAAAAAAAAGTAAGTCCAAGATCGTCCGTACGGGGAGAGAGAGAGAGAGAGAGAGAGAGAGAGAGAGAGAGAGAGAGAGAGAGAGAGAGAGAGAGAGAGAGAGACCAAGAT